TATGGTATTAAGTATCTAGTATTCTGCATCTTGTATTATATGCCAATTTTATTATAGTGAATTCATTATAAAAATTTAACTATTAACTTTTAACTTTTAAAAGTAAATTGTTCTATTTATGCGAGAAATGTCTTATGATAGATCATTTCCTTTACATTGATGCCTCTTTGATATACATAGTGATTTTACTTCCTGTTTTGGGCATAATTTGGGAAGAAAACTCATTTTTAACTGTTTGCAAGTGTCAACATGCAACTGTCAAGTCATCAAGAACTTTTTTGCTAAAAATGGGAAAGAAATTTACATCCTGTGTAACACCAGCGATTGTTTCCAGACTTATGTTTGCCCATGACAGTTTCAATTAGTGTATTCCCAACAATTTGGAAGATCTTCTTAAAGAACACTGCAACTTCTCAATCCATCAACTCAACTAAAAAAAAATGATTTCCAAGGATCAAAATTCAAAATTTCAAAATTTATTCTTACCATCAAATTCATCCATTTCTTTCTGTGATTTGTTTTCTATGAATCCATTATCAGAAATAATTACATCTTGTCAGGGGAATGTAATATTTTCTCTTACATCAACTCAATTAAAAAAACAACTTTCCAACAATCAAAAATTCAAAATTTCATAATTCAGTCTTACTTTCCATTTTCAGAAATAACTACATCTTAGGGAATGTTTGCACAAATTATGGACTTAATCATGAAGGTTATAATTTGATGTGTATATTATTCTTTGAATTTTTTTCTTCACAATGAGTTAATCCTGACTCAGTTGTCAATTCATTGCAAACATAAATCCTTATATGAACTCTTTAAAGATTAAAGTGCTTTCAAAGATTATTGAAGCAATGGCGCCCTCCTGTGAAATTACCTCATGGAATTAATAATTCACTGAAGGCAGGACGTAAGAAATGTATGTTCTCTCATCACTAGCGACAGACCAAAGTTGAGATGAGATCTATAAACACCTGATTTGCTCTGCTGGGCGTCGATGGGTTGGCGCCCTTTTAAACCATCACTTTCATGAAATGGTCAATTAACGAGAAATTCCCTCTGAAAACAACGAAGCACATGACTTGGAGAGAGGATAGCTTTTGTTGTGATGGAATAAAAGCTTCCTGTTTCCCAAAGCCGATTAGAAAATAGTGGTGCTTTGCTTGTAAATGTCGCGTTAATTTTGGCGCTGAATCTGAGCTCAAGGATCATAATGGTTTATCATTAGCAGCATCCATCGCCCACTTGTTTATAATCAATATATGCAGGACCAACCATTTACATGTCTAATGCTTCGCTTAGGCAATATTTGTTGTTAGAGCGAGGTAATGCACACACACAGAAACTCGTTCACTGGACAACAAACGCCGTTTTGATGAGTCCAACACACACACATGGAACTCATCTGTGGGACAATTCCGCCTTTCCGGCTGTGATTGCCTCCAAGCCCTGAGTATTGTCCTGTATGTAAATACTCTTGGACAGGTATGCGATCAGAAATACCTTGTTCATTATTGATCTGTCAGCGTTAATTAACTTTTCAGCCAAATACCATGACGTTTATCATGCGCTGAAACCCACATTTGATTAGAAAAAAATATATGCAGACATTCCTTAAATGAACATTGACAGGTGATAGAACTTTCGTGCTTTATTACAAGGATCAGGAGACTCGTTTACTTCCTCGAAATTACTTCTTTCATCATTCCTGTTAATATTTCACATTCTTGGCATAAAAAATACTTTTTTGGCAATAAACCAGTCAAAAAAAGAACTTTGTGAAAGGAAATGTTATAATCTTATTCCATATGCACAAAGAATTCTCAACTGTTTAAATATCTTCAGGGTTTCAGATTGTTCCTTTTCTAGGGCACAGACTAATTTTCCAAAAGATATTTTTCAATTTTGTATTAGTACAAAACGTCCAATCAAAAGTTGATCAAAACAGGACAATGTCATGATGCCATTTGTTTCTGGCAAATATTATCTCAAATTCTTAAAAAGGAAAAACACTAAACAATGTAAATTGTTAAACCATGAGGACAAATACTCAATCAAACTCGGAGAAAAATACCACACAGTATGCATGTTTACAGTTATTTCTAAAAATACAGATTTAAGTGATGAACCTGTATCAATCCAACACACTTGAGGCGTATTGTGTTTCAAAATACATTACCAATGAAAGAAAACAAGCAAAGCCAACATAAACAAACTTTTACCCCTTTAAGAAAGTTGAAGACATTATATTGCAACAGTTATGTGGTATTCATCCACGCCAACTCCAGTGTGCCGCGTAATGGGCGACCAGAAAATCAGTTTAATGCCAATTTTACAAGAGCAGTCCAATCGAAGGCACCTATTCATATTGCAAAGTTCTCTAGTAATACTCTGTATTTTCTAGCTTTCGAAAACGAGTTCCCAACGTTTCTAGTTAGCTGCGAATGATCCTGACTACACAGAAGGCAGTCAGAGTTGGATATCCCCCTGTACCCGTGTTTGTCATCAGATTTGGTTGGTTGTTGTTGTTTAACACAGCACTCATAAAATGACACTGACATTATATGTCAGCTAAAAATGCAAATGCACTATGCTCTGCCATACCCATGTGACAAAGACAACGAGAAGTTCTGGAACAGACTGTGCCAATCCCCAGCCATTCCTAAAAAAGCTGCTTTTGTGGTAGGAACTCTCAAAGGAGGAGTGGAGCAAGGCCTCTGATATGAAGCAACTGTTGACAAGTTCTGGAACAGACTGTGTCAATGCCCAGCCATTCCTTATATGCTGCTTTTGTGGGAGGAACTCCCTAAGGAGGAGTGGAGCGAGGCCTTTGATATGAAGCAACTGTTGACAAGTTCTGGAACAGACTGTGTCAATCCCCAGCCATTCCTAAAAAAGCTGCTTTTGTGGGAGGAACTCTCAAAGGAGGAGTGGAGCAAGGCCTCTGATATGAAGCAACTGTTGACAAGTTCTGGAACAGACTGTGTCAATGCCCAGCCATTCCTAAAAAGCTGCTTTTGTGGGAGGAACTCCCTTAGGAGGAGTGGAGTGAGGACTCTGACATGAAGCAACTGTTGACAAGTTCTGGAACAGACTGTGTCAATGCCCAGCCATTCCTAAAAAGCTGCTTTTGTGGGAGGAACTCCCTAAGAAAGAGTGGAGTGAGGACTCTGACACGAAGCAACTGTGGACCATTCTGTCCACCAACCAGTCCATTCATAAACATATACCAGTATGTTCCTCCCTTAAATACAAAAGTATGTACATTAAGTTTTTAAGATATCACAAATCTGTAATAATAATGACTACCGGTATAAGGTGACTATGCTTGTCGTAAGAGGCGACTAACGGGATCAGGTGGTAAGGCTCGCTACTTGGATCGATCTCATGATTTTCATGATTTTCATCACTGGATTGTCTGGTCCAGACTCGATTATTGCTGAGTGCGGCGTTAAACAACAAACCCAACAAACCAACCAAGTGACTGTCTTATTAGGAATCATAAAGCCCATACGGTCCAATATGAAAAACCACGAAAATATTGTGATTTTACTGAAAACTTCAGCCAGGAGATTGCACAGTCATATACCTCAAAATATCAATCAAATAAATAAATAACACTGACCAAAATTCTGTTTAAAATGAGTGTGTAACTTTGAGGTTAAATATAGTTTTTAATAGCATTAGGATATGTCTTATCATAAAGATCAGGCCATAGAGTACACAGACACCATCAACCAAGTCACTGAGTCTGATCACTTAATCCATTAAGTCCCCTCTTACGACCAGCACAGGTCCATGCATAGGTCCACAGGTGCATGCTAGGTCCATAGGTCTCCACGAGTCACCTGGTTCTGACAAACCAAGGATCGTAACTGAGAGTCGATCGTGACAGGAAAGGGACACAACTCTGCAAAAAGCTGCAGCATCTTGTAATAAGACCACTGAAGCACCTGTGTCTGTGTTGTAGATAAGAAGCATGAGTTTTTCTGACTATGATGTCGGACCTACAGCTCAGCACGGTATGTACATAAATGAATCGAGCGTCAGTTGCACACAGGTTTCATCTCCAGCCAAAGATACCCATTGTCCTTTGATGTGCCTAATGTACACAAGCCTTTAAAATACCTGAACGATAAAAACAACTAATGCTTCTTAATTATGTTCATCAATTCACCAAGTTGTATGTAATGTATTGTTTTAGTATGACATTTATTAATTCAGAATAATCATGATAATTGTTAACACTTGTCAATTCATGTTAATTTTGCCTGAAGACTCAACACTTGAACAAATATATAATATATATATCAAACAAAAGTTATCATTGTGTATAGGTTACATCATGGCCATGGACCCTGTATTTTGGCTGTCATCACATTACAGTAAACTGCAGTTACAACGAACTCAAAGGGACAACTAATTTTAATTCGTTATAACCGTAGTTCATTATAAGCAAATGTACAGAATATATACAGCAAATAGACAGGACCAAATAGTTTGTTATATCCGTCAGTTCCTTTAGAATTTCAACAGATATCTCTTGACTGTGAGATAGGGTTTCCCTAAAGACAATGGTGAATGGCTGACAGCAAAGAGGACATCTGTTGTAAATGTATATGATTTTATAGTATGATCACAGCCAAAATACAGGATTTATGGCTATGATGTAATAAAAGTAGGGTATTCAAAGGAGTATTCGTGAGAAAAATAATTTGACAAAACTTGCATAGTTCCAGATATGGGCATACTAAAAGAGACCTATTGTTTCTATAATGCAATTGATGAATCAGTCAATACAGCGTCTATTTCAGTACCAACTTTCAACGCACATGACAGGTAACATGAAAATACCAACGCCCAGCTTCTACTTGGCATGTATGAAGAATCCTTCTCAGCAGCACTCTGCGGCCCTGATCACTGATCTGCGGATTCTCTTCAAACAGCTTTTCGACATATGACCACAATGTTCTTACAGAAGTAAAGACAATACTTACTGACTTGGGTGTAGAGATGATCAAACAGTGTCGACGGACGAGTATGATTGTCGATATTGATTCCGTGAAACAAGCGTGGAATGGGTCGACAAGTACGCCGCTAATGAAGTGTCATAGTAGACTGTTCAAACAGAGAAAGACATTAATTCAGAAAAGCCGAGAGAAAAATCAAAGATATGGCTGAAAAATGAAATGAGTATTTACATCTCTTCAATGTCAACAATGTCCACGTTTAACAGTAAACTGTGCTAATTAAGTCATGTACCATCAATGTACAACACGAGTGCTTCATGCAACTGACATAGCTATTTCTGATATTGGCGATGATGCAGGAAGATGACTTGGTATGTTGCTTCTATTCAATATCAGGATGGAGATGTTGTCAACGACAACGTCTTTGCTGCACTTGACTCAAAAATAAAATATTTTAATTCAATTTGGTATGTTGAAATAACATCACTAAAAGCTCTGCATTTCCCACAATAAATTTTGCATCCTGTGAACTCAAACATCCTTTGCATCTTGGATGACGCTGGCATCATTAATAGAGTTGCAAATTGGATCTAAAAGCTTAGACAGGAGAAAATTGGTTTTGTATAAAGCATGTTCTAAAACACTATTTTAATAGCTGAGTTTGCGTATTTATCATACTATCGGGTAAATGCTGTAATGGTTATTTTTTGTTGACAGTAAACTATAATGTGCACTCAAAACAACCACAGACACACTCTGATGACAGAGTCCATGTTTTAAATACAGTTCAACTCCAATTAACCTCTTCAAGGTGTACTGTTTCTCCAACCTCTGTAAACAACACGTGTGAATGTGTATAATTCTTGATGGTTGCTTCTAAAATACCAAGATATCATGGGTTTTTAAATACAAGGTTTTACAACCATGAAAGAATCATTTTCTACCAAGGCTGGTAAAAACATTGAATTGAAAAAATGCAAAAGAAGATTGATAAAATAAGGAAAGTAACTGTGACTTCTCATTTTAAGATCTTCCCAAATGTATTTTGCGATTTCACAATTCTGAACATATCATTAAGTGATCACTTGCAAACATGTTCTTGCATATTTATTTTATCTTAATTCTGATAACCATATTACAGTTCTGAAAATTATCCCATAGGCAAGGAATGAAGCAAGATGTGTGTCATAATACCCCCAAACCATTTATCTATGCTCACATCATCAACCATTGGTTTACCTTCTCTGTGAGTGAGTGAGTGAGTGAGTGAGTGAGTGAGTGAGTGAGTGAGTGAGTGAGTTGGGTTTAACGCTGCTTTTAACAGCATAGCAGTTATATCGCGGCGTGTCAGCATAATGTGGGAGGAAAGCCCGAAGTGATGCAGGTCTCAGACGTTTACCACTTCGGTGAAACCCACGAGCATGGGTATGGTGCTGACAAACCTAGAAACATAATTGGGGCGAACCAGGATTTGAACCCACAATCATAGGTTTCTGGCGTACCCAAGGGACGCAACTCTGCACAGCGAATCGCGGCACCTCCTTCTCTGTGAACAGTTAATCAAACAAAAGAAGGTTGTACCACATAATATACTGAACAGAAATAGTAAGGGATCATGAATATTTTGTGGATATTTTTATGAACTTGCATGCTCAATCTATACTTTAAAAAATATCACAAAAAACATTCATGATCCCTTACTTTTTTCGTTCAGTATATAAGAAAAGAAAAAATATTTAGCAGTTAACAGTAATGCAACAAATATTAACGATCACAGTCCTTGACCATACTCTCGTGTGCACGACTTCCACCTTACTGGTACTTGAATACAATCAGGTCAGCATCATTATCCATAACCGATGCCGAAGGTCCCCACTTTAATGAGCCATATTACCTCACACTGTTCATGTCTATTACAACCTAGGCTGAGGACACCCATTTCATTTCAGACTGATGCCATGTATTTCAAATTTCTCCTCAGCCTCCTTGGGTCTGAAGAGGAGCCAAAGGGTCGTCTTTAATTGGACTGTGGTACGCGTGTTGACATTTGACTATTGATTCGGGAGTGATTACCCACAATGCACTTGCAGTGCCGTGCGATCTCAGGTACACTAATGAAAGGTGCCGATGAAATGAACATGGTGGATCGAATTCAAGATGAAACTGACGACTCACTAATGAACGGTTGTGTTCATTACGGACATTTGCCCGATGCAAGGCTTGTATTTCTGCGGCGGGCTGCTGAACTGATTAGGCAAAATGCTACCTTCTTGCGTTCATTAGATCCAAAAATTGTCCTAAATTGTCAACCTCATTAGCACTTGCTGATTGCGTTTCAATCATGTTGAGTGGAGCAGCTATATCTGGCATAGTTAGAAAAAGGAGGATGTGCCGTAGATTAGGGAGGTCTTATTTAAGATTTCTACCACCACTAACATTTACCCGAACCCTGCAGAGCTTAAAGGGTCTTCTCCTTTCTACTGACTAGACCTCCCAGAGAGGTCGACACGGAAACGTATGGAATTCATATATCTTTATTTGGGGAACATGTACTGATGCACTGATGGATTTATGATTAAGTAAACCAAATGCTGACTTATTTTTTATCAAAAACTGTTAACCGAACCTGGCACATTTCATTTGACTTTTTAAAAGAATTGTTAAGTCCAAATACAGATTGACAAAAAAATATAATCAGAAAATTCATATTTGTAAGATGACAGAGAGTTTGTGACAAAACAAAAGATTTCAAAGTCACTTTCCGGGATGTTTTTTGTTAAAGCCGATTTTTAAATTGATATTCAATTTTCATCAACATGTGTGTGAAAGGATTGAAGTAAAATATCCCTTGATGACCAGAAAGCTGAAAATATTGTCAAATTAGAAACATAATTGAAATTAATTGAATGATGTGATTGTCAGAACTAATTTGAATTTTCCAAAAATGTGACAGTTGCCATGGTAACATGATGAATTTCTATCAATATTGAATACAAACTGCAAAGATTGGGTGCAGACCTGTAGAATGTTCATTGAAAGTTTACATCTAAGATTTGTAAAATTTAATTATGAAGAAGAAAATCAGCAGGTTTTCAATTAGCTCAACACTAAAAAATTTTATGCAATAATGAGACCACACCTATCATGATACAAAGTGTTGAATGCATCAACTCCACAAATCCCACACATATGTCCGAGAAGGGAACTGTCATAATTCAGTCACATTCTATCTGGAAGCAAATACCAAATTGGTAATTGCCCTCCTGAACCGATTGAGTAGTTACCTTGTATCTATAGTCATGTATTACTGAAAACATCATCACACACATATATGCATTCCTGCATTCAACTTCTTGCACAAGCATGTGTACTGAGCCCATACCTAGAGTCTGTCAATGTATGGGTTTATGAAACAGAACCTAACGCTGTGTAAAACTCTGTGATGGCTGTGATGGAATATTCCTGCCATCCTGCCATCCTATGTTTAGGCCATCCTATGTTTAGGCCCAGACCAAAGGTGGGTTCCAGACATTGTATCCATGGTAAAACGTAACCTGGGTTATCGGACTGACAAAGGCGCCCCACCACCCTACTGAAATTTGAGTTCGTCTTAGTGTAGTTTCGATACCTATCATTATAATTTAGAACCAAGCACTTTTGTGAACAGTACAGTTTTGATGGCTTATCGGCAGATGAAATTGATGAATTCATACGCACAGTTTAATTAGGCTTAATTTTGAGGTATCAAATGGAAATTTGAACCGCTCAAATGCATCAAATGGAAATTTGATACCCCATTTTAACCAATCAGAATCAAGCATTCTTCAGTGTCGTGTCATACACAATCCATACTTAAATGACATCTTTGAATGAAACTTCCACTGATTTACCCACCTGATCTAGAAATAAAAGAGAGCAGTGAAACCGCCTCATCTGTTTCATATTTAGATCTATGCTAAAAGATTCAGAGTGACAATAAAGTATCCACAAGACTATGACAAGAGGGATGACTTCCACTTTCCATATGTTTCCATATGTTTCCATATGTTCGACCAGTTCTCAATACCACAATGTCTCCCTGTGGTTAAGTGAGGGAGTGAATATAGTTTTACGCCGCTTTTAGCAATATTCCAGCAATATCAACATAGTGGACACCAGAAACTTCTAGGCCTCCCTGTGGCAGAACAAGTCCCCGGAAGCTGTTTGTTATTATATCGGGGGGGGGGGGGGGGGGGGGGGGGGTTGTGGATTATAGCTCTTGCTATCAATCAGCACTTGACTATTTTGACACTGTGCCGATACGATACAAAATGACAGTAACTGACTAACATAAATTATAACCTTTGATATAAAAATCATGAAGTCATTTTGAAAACGGTCAACCATGTATATGATACAACACTGTATTATAATAATGTCAGCCAAGAGTATACATATAAAGAAAACAATGCACACACGAATCTTCACCTTCAAATGTCCAGAAAGCTTTGTGACCAATCACATCCCTAACAACTTAGCTCCAGGCAAGACGTCCACTGATTGCAGTATAAATGGAACAAATTACGTCCTTGGTCTCCAAAGAACTCCTCCACAAAACTGAACAGAACCAGTTCCTTATCTCAGAATCTAACAACTCCCATCACTCAATTTGACCAAAATTGATGTCTCCACAAACACCTACATCTCCCAACATTCCATAGCCATTTGTAAGCAGCTTACAGCAATAATGCCCTGTCTGAAACAATTACTGGCCACAGACTTGTATAGCAGATACATACAGATGGATATAATAGATATGACAATAGGTGAATATGAAGGATATGACAACAGAAGAATATAACAGACATATACAAAAGACCCTTCCTCTCACAAAAAGGACTTCGCTTTTGACAAGGTCCTCCACATGTCCAGTGCTCCTGTGCTGACAAACCTGTCTCCCCATCGATCAATAAATCGCCAGTGCCTCCAAATCAGGATTTCCCATTTTGACATTTTTCCTAGCAACTTGTAATGATGCCAAATTATCACCATTCTCTTCATTCCTGCAGAGGAAACCAGGGTTTGTGATAGAACGTTCAAGTTGAATCTTCCTTCCTCTTTGAGTTTAAGATGGATGTAGGGTCCTTAAAAATACAGACTGGGGTTGAA